AGACTTGAGTTTCTTTCAGGCAGACCGATGTTTTGCAAAAAGACCTGCTATTTGATGATAGGGTGTAAGCAACTGTTCCATGTCACGAACGAACGAACTTTATTTTCAAAGGGTCACAAATTGGGCACGCAGGCCCGTCTTAAAATTTGGCCCTTCCAAACACCCGTCTTTCACACTGTAGCTGTATTTTATCAATAAGCATGTTATATTCGTATAATATTACGCATATTATGAATATCAAAAACAGGAGAAAAACACAACACAAAAACATGGGTGGTAAAATGCATGCACACACTAGCGCGCGCATGCACACACACATCCACTCACTCACTTAAACACGCATACTTTCACACACCCACATAAATACCCACCTATCCACAAAGACACGCACATCCCACACACATACAGATACACACATGCACACACAGACACATCCATAGAAACAAATGCAGACACTCACACAGACAGGCATACGCGCACAGACCCAAACACAGACACACACACACTTACACATGCACAAACACAGTCACACACAGATACACGCACACAGACACAATCGCAGACACACATACGCGCGATGATGCTCACGTAGACACAAACATACACACACACACACACACACACAGAAACACAACCACAGACGCAGACATTCATACACACAGGCACATACACAGATACACGCAGACACACACCCGCAGACAGACAAACTCAAACACCGGTACACACAGGCACATGTAGACACACCCAGAAACACTACACACAGAGACAAACACAAAGACTTACACACACACACACACATATATATATACACAGAGACGCTCATATACACAGGCATTCACGCAAACACACATACACAGACAGGCACATACAAACACACACAGGCGCGCGCAACAAAGACACACACAGGCAAACACAGCCACATACACGTAGAACACACAGACAAGCAAACACACGCACATGTAAAATCTGCCTTGATGAGGATTCTTCTTCGCATTCACCGGCGGTAAACTCCGGTGAAAGGTTCTGGTTGTTCGTCCACCTCCGTACTACAGTCGTGTTCCAGAACTTGAGTATTAATTGCACATCTGTTTTACATATTTGGCATATTGGAGCAGATTGTTGGTTACTTGCTTTTCAGGCAGAAGCCCTCAATCAGTCGACTCAAACGACATGCTTGTTGTGGGGGGGGGGGGGGCAGTGAGTCTGTTCTTGTTTGTATTCTGCAATGAGTGCCCCGGAACCCACATGGGGGAATGATAAGGATTTAAACCAAAACTCTCGAGGCTGACAGGCAAGCATCTAGCCCTCTTCGCTAGCACAGGCCTCCTCCCCCAATTCTAGTGTGTCTAAAATGTGAATTGTATCTTTTACCAAGGGTGTTTAATATTAGAAAAACCTCAATGCAAAATTAAAACATGAAATGCGGAGGTAAAAACAAGAAAAGATAAGAGTCGCCAATGAAGAACTTAAAAACAGTAAGCACAGTACCAGTGGGATGATTTCACAGAACATCACAGAATCAAATGGTTTGGTTATCTGGTCAGAATGAAGCAAAATCAGCCAGCAGCTAGAGGAGAAAAGTGGGCTACAAGTCAAGAGGCTGACCAAGAAAAAGATGGGTGGCGGGAGTAAAAGAGATGCTACAGAAAAGCAGTATAACAACACAAGCTACCCAACTAGCAAAAGACAGGAAACTACATGTAACTCTTTTATGCTACGCTTTGCGGTGTAGTAGGATTTTTTTTTTTTTTAATGTAATACCTTACTCAAGCATTTCCTTCTTCTTCTTTACATCCTCTTTTACCGCTGCGGGTGTCGAGGGATATGCAAGGTCCTGTTTCGTGCTCTTCTGGATGCTTCCACCATAGTCACATTGTGGTACTGTAGAGTTTCTCTGATGTTACCTTCCCATCTTGTTCTTGGTCTGCCTCTTGCTTTACGTCCCTCTCCTCTTTCTGGTATATGCCTTGTATGATATAGCATCAGGAGGCATTCTCTCCAAGTGGGCAAACTATTTGATTTGCTTTGTATGTAATTTAGAATTGGTTCTGTGTATCTCGTATGACCCCATTCCACAAGCCTTTCTCATATACCTCATTTCCATGGTTACAAATTTTCTTTTATGTTTTGTTGTAAGTGACCACGTCTGGCACTGGTAGCAAAGGTTGGAAATGAATATGCTATTTATGAGATGTCTCTTTTTGCTGACTAGGATTGCCTTATGCTGTAAGAGGGTAAGCTAGCTGTTCCAATTCTTGGCCAGTTTTACTGCATCGGATGTCAACTTCTTCGTCCAATTTACCATCTTCAGTGAATGTTGTTCCAAAATATTTAAACTCAGATGCCTGTTTAATATATGTTTGCTCTAATGCTATGTTTAAATCCAGATTCTTTCTTCCTATTGACATTAATTATGTCTTTTCAATGCTGATTCTCATATTATTTTATTTACATTTTTGATCCATGGAAGTGAGATGCTGTTGCAAATTCATGGCTGTATCTGTAATCAAAGCCTGGTCATCAGCAAAATGTAATTCGTTGATGTTACAGTTATTTTCGCTCCTGGGCCTGGCATCCTTACTTATACTGTCAATGTGGTGTAGTAGGATAAAATAAAGAAAAAGAAATTTAATACTTTACCCCAACATTTCCTATCACCTTTTAATTCCGTTCTGTTTAGTCACACAAAAAAAGGATGACGGGTTGTGGGAGGCAAAGTGGCTTGTCCCACACCAGATTTGTCGTCAGACTGTGTTGTTTAGTTCCAGTTCATGTCATTATTGTAACCGACTCACAAAAAATGCTGAGACAGACATGCAGAGTGGCAAGCATGGCTATAATCAGGTGTGTTAGGAAATGAACAGGCAGAACAATTGGCTGTTTCTGCACCAATGGGTGGTGATCTGATGTATGACAAACTAGATGCGGAGCAAGTGGATACTGCAAAAGCATAAACAGATCATTATGTTCTGAAGAGAATGGTAGTTAGTAGTGACCATGGGATCTGGTCAACACACTCAGAGGAGAGGCAAGATGGACATATAATCAAACTGCTACTGGCACTATTTAAACTGAAAGTCTTTGCTGGCTGCTGAAGATGAGGACAGAGTTTTATGAGAATGCCCCGGGCGCTGTTATTTCAGTTCTTGATAACTCATCACATTTCTAGTTCATGTGTAGAATTCTTTTTTTTTTGCGAGATCCCTGGAAATCCTCCCCCAAGTTCCTGCTTTCAGCAACGCTCTCAGCAGGTGACTGCTGCTCTACAAAAACTGAAACTTAACAATCTAGGATAAAACTCATGCATGGAATTGAATCATCTTGTCCATGTTGTTGTTTGGGTTCACCAGCTGTAAAGCCCGGCGGAAAGCCCTGGTTGTTCGTCCATTTCTAGACTTTGGCTTTGTTCCAGGACCTGAGTTTTGCATGTGCATCCGTTTCACAGATCTTGCTTATTTGTATGAAGACTGTTGGTTCCTTGCATGTCAGGCACAAGCACTCGACTTTGAAGGAAGCCCCCCCCCCCCCCCCCCCCCCCCCCCCCCCCCCCCCCAACTAGTTGACTCAAACGACATGTTTGTTAGGGAGGCAGTGGGTCTATTCTTGTTTTCCCCACAATGGGAGCCCTGAAGCCACACAATGGGAGCCCTGAAGCCCCACAATGGGAGCCCTGAAGCCCCACAATGGAAGCCCTGAAGCCACACAGGAACCTCTTGCCTTTAAACATCTTTTTTTTATAGAGTAAATTGCTTTTAATCATATGAAAAGCTGAAATGTTTAAACTGTACAGAGTCAAATACAAAAAAATTGTTTAAGAATGTTTAATCATTATCAATAGTGAAATCATATGGTGACGCCCAATAATGACAGCAGTAACAATTACTGAAACATGACATTCAACAATTATTGAAATAAGATGTTAGCAATTACTAGAACATGAAAGCTAAATTTACTGATAACCGAAAAATTACAGCTAATAATTCCTGGCTCATGACAACAGCATCAGTATGGCCAGTAGGCAGAATTACTGTTTACAGCTATGGAAAGTTTTTACTTTAGTTAGATGTTGCATTTTCCTTCATATGTAGACTGAAAGGATACTGTTCCATCGCCCAGCAACTAAGATGAGCGCAAGGTGTGACACTGAGCTGCGGATTTCATTTGGAATGCATGATTTGTGCTGTGAACTGCAGATTCAGAAATAGCGAGAAAAGTCTGTTGCCGGAGAACCGGTGGTGTCTTATGTGATTCATGTGTGCACAACTACTACTGTTATGTTGGTAATTTAGTGTCGGATTGTTTGCGTTGGCACTTCTGATGGCTGCCTTATGCATTTATTGCATGTATATGGTACTGACTTTGCTGAGATGGTTGTTTGTAAATTTGTGTCACAAGGGAGAGCAACAGACATTTCTGTATGTTTGTCACTGGCACAAGAATAGAGCAACTACGGGGTGACCTGTTTGCTACGAATTTGGAACTGCGATTATTCGATCAATTATTGAAATGTGACAGCCATAACAATTACTATTACTGACACCTGGGGGGAAAAAGACGGCTAACAAGTACCAACACTTAGAACATGACAGAAGTAACAATTACTAACACATGAAACATGACAGTAACAATTACTGAAACCTGACAGCAATATCTATGGCAGTTTCAAAAATGACAATTATTACAGTAAGCAATTATTATCAATGACAATTACTACCACACAAAAAAGTGAAAAAGGCTTTATCTGAATATGTAAAACTAGACAATCATTGCTTTATCTGAATAAGTAACTAGACAATCATTAACAAATCATCTATTGCAGTAGGGTGACCATAATCCCTGTTTTTGCCAGAAAGGTATCATCTTTTAGGTAAGCCCTGACTGTCCCGTAAACACTCAACACCAGTTGGAACAATGGTATTTTGTTGTTGTTGAATACTGACGTAACAAAAAAAATGATACTGTCCCGACAACAAGATAGGAATGACAATTCCCCAGACATTTTAACCGAAGGTGCTGCCATCCCAGACGCAGGCTGTTGCATCAATGTCATAAATATTGATGTAGAACCTGCAAGAAAAAGGATACTTTCTTCGTATTGAGAAATAAATTCCCAGATCATTCCCATAACCGATCTGATCTTGTGTGGTTTTAAAAAAAAATATAAGGTAGGTTATCCTTTACAGAACGTTGCAGAACCAACTGTCCCTGGCTGTTGTGTGGTTTTTCTAGGAAAATTTAAGTCCAGTAGTTTGCCATTGCTTTCCGGGCGGTCGGCTTTCTTGATACCACTGTTGAAACCAACGCCAGGTGCATGGCCTGCAGCTGGAATCGAACCCGGCATTCCGGCATTACTAAGCGTTCGCATCAACTTAGCCACAGAGCCGACTATATATATATATATAGTCCCATATATATATGGGAGTCGCCTTACGCAGTGGCTAGACTCTTGCGTGCGGATCGGAAGGTCGTGAGTTCCCTACCTGGTGGAGCCGGACTTTTTTTTCAAAAATGACCATGACTCCCACGTCAACCCAGCCCTGATTGGGTACCGGATGCAGTCCTGGGAAGTAAATGCAGCCGGCGTGATGCAGACTACATCACCCATCTTGTGCCGATTGGTCTGACAAAATATAGGTCTAGCCCTATATACCCTGTACACCTAAAGACGTGGAAAAGGGACCTTTACTTACTTTACTATACAGTCGAGTCCACTTAAGTCGAACTCGGATAGGTCGAATTTAGGTTAAGTCGACATGACCAGCTTAGTCCCAGCAATTTTCTCTATTGTGTTTGCTGTCTGGATAAGTAGAAATCCTGATTAGTGGAAGCATTTTCTTAGGTCCCTTGTGAATTCTACTTATCCAGACTAGACTGTATTAATATATAAAATGTCAACAACTGTCCCATGTGAAAAGCAAACCAAGCAGCGGTCCAGCACACTACTTCTTCTCTGCCTCTTCTACCGCCTTGGGTGTCGAGGGAGATATAAGGTTCTACTTACTGCTTTTCTAGCCACCTTGTCCATGGACACATCATGCTGTTGTAGTTTCTCTGTTGTTATCTTTCCATCTTGTTCTTGGTCTACAGTCTGCTCTACCATTTCATTCTTGGTCTACAGTCTGCTCTACCATCTTGTTCTTGGTCTACAGTCTGCTCTACCATCTTGTTCTTGGTCTACAGTCTGCTCTACCATCTTCTTCTTCAGTCTACTCTATGTCTTTTGGGTATGACTTATGAGGTATAGTGTCACAAGGCATTCAAACTACATGGGCAAACCATTTGCTATGCTGTCTTTGCAGGGATGTGAAGACGGTTATAAGCACTACAGCTGAGATGTTTGGTCATCATGTCTTTTCTATGACCTTCTGTCCAGTGTCACTTATTACTAGTTTAATCCTTTCACCTTACGAATGCTAAATTTTTTTAAAAAATGGGTCAGGAACTTGTGGGAATTCCCGGGGAAAAAGCATTTAAAAAGAAAATTTATTTACCTATATTTTTTATACTTATTTAGTTTAGTTTAGTCGACGGATCAACATCATGGCACACGGGTATAACCCATAAGTGCTCCGTTTAACTCAAGCGAGAGTTAAAAGTATTTCACAAACTCTGCTGCAGTGGCGAGGATCCTGAAATACTTTGGGTAGATTTTTAACTCCAAATTGTGTCCGGGCTGCACAGTTAGGCTACTCTTTTCAATTTCCAACTGCCAAGGGATTTTTTACTTTCGCAACAATACACACGGGCATCTAATCTTCCTACCCAGAGACCGGGGGAAATTACTAGAAGTCCACATGAAAAAAAACCAGCCTTCACCAGGGTCTGAACCCAGGACCTCCTGCACTCGAGGCGGATGAATACTTATTTGAAATATATAAAGGGGTTGGTGGTCAGTAAACAATAGCTGAATAAGGCGTTCAATGGAATACATTCCTTAGGGCTTAAATCTGACATCAACATGGCATTAAAAAAGCCAGTGTCCTAAGAAAACCCTCTCTTAATGCTATTATTAGTTACTACATTCATATCCTAGATTATTAAACACAGCGCAGATGCATACAGAACCAATGGAATTTAACTACACTGATCAAGAACAGGGTGACAGCTGACAGGTTGATATATTGGCCTTTAGGGGACTTTTTTCACAACTGGAAGTGACTATAGTGTCTTCTCCGGTGACAGGGATAAGAATCAACATAACAGCACATAGGACACACTCACAAAAAGCAAATATCTTTACTCTTTCAGTCCTAGAATCGCACTAATTGTAATTGGACACTGTCTAAGTGTGCTAATCAACACAATCGGTGCTTTTCGGACATGTTATGAGAAGGAATGGACTTAAGAAACTAATAACGGCTGGCAAGGTTGATGGAAAGAGAGCAAGGGGAAGGCAAAGAGATGTATACCAGGACGACTTGGCTGGATGGATGAAGTATACAAGAGCAGTCACCTGATCCATGATTCTGGTAATCGTATGAGACTAAAAGAACCATCAAGAGCTTTGAACAAACCACCCACAATGAACTGGAGGAGGATTACATTTTACAACATTACAACATACCTGTCCTGTTTAATGCCCAGCTGCTGCTCAATAAAGGCACTGAGTTTTGGAGCCAGCTTTCTGTTTTTGTCTCCGCCGACCGCACCAATGCTGGCCAGGGAGATGACAGCACAGGGCTCGTCTGTCCCGCCAAAACTCATCAGCTGGTCGGGGTTGACTTGGATCAGGACATACTGACATAAAGGTAAGGAAAGAGAGAGAGAAAACATTGTAAATGTATGTGTGCATAAATACAATATTTTGTGACGTTTTAAAATATTGTTAGTCCCGTGAGGACACTGCTGTAATTATCTATAATTATACGGCAAAGATTTGGCTAGAATGCTTTGCTTTCATGTAGGACTTTTAAACAGTTAGTTGTGCATCCTTTGCAGAATGTTGCTAAACCAACCCCAGCATATTTGTTTTTTTTTATGTTTGTGACTTTACTAGGCAACATTACATTCAAGAGTTTGCCACTGCTTTCTGAGTGGTCGACTCTCGACACCACTACCAAAACCATACAAGACAATCTGCTGCCCAATTCCTTGCACCTGGATTTGAACCTGACCCCTTGGAATTATGAAACGGGTTCCCCAGTGCCTAAGTCACAGACACCTGGGTTTAAACTCTTGGTTTTTCTGTCAGGGGTCAGAAATAAACATATTTAGCCTAGACAGTTTATTGCGACTTCTTGGCCATGCTGTCACTTATCCTCAGACCAATGACCCTCTGTCCTACAACATGTAGAAAGTTGTAAATCATCATCAATCTCCACTAGCACCATTAAGCGTTGTGTGGAGGAACAGTTTGTGATCTTCTTCTAGGGCGAACTCTTGCTTTCACATTAGATCTTTTCATGTGTAGCACCTGTCTTGGTAGTTGTTCTGGCTGCATTCTTATGAGAGGGTCAAACCTTTCAATCTTTTTTCTCAATTAATTTTGCGCATGGTGTTGTTGATCTCGTGGGATCTCCCTTGTTTCTGCCACCCAGAGAAGGAATTTTTTTTTTCCAATATCTCAGGATGGTACGACCAGCTTTTGGGTAGCAGGGGCTTTAGGTTACTTCCTTAAGGTTATTTTCGTGATTGAAAATGACTCGGAAAGCAAGCTGAGGTAGGTCAGGACACTCATGCTTCACTCAGAGTGGCATGCTTCTCTTCGAAGGTTATGGGTGAGGAGCACTGTCAGGAATTTTTCTCCGGTAATGCTGGTGTGTTGGGAAATGAATGGGCAGACAGACTGGCTGGCTCTGCATAACTTTGCGATATATTTATGCATGATAAGGCAGACGTGGCTAGGGCCTTATAGCACGTGTACAATTCAGAACAGCAAACTGATTATTAAAGTCTGGTGAGAGTGATGTATCAGGGAGAGATGAGGGGATCTAGCCAACCAATACACAGAAAAGGCAAGACATACAGACTGGGACTCTGCGCTGGCTGCTGAAGATGGGAAATGCCCCGAGTGCTGTGACGTCGGTTCTTGAATCAACTAAACTCCTGAAAGTATGACCACCCGTGCAACTTAAAACAACAAAGCAAATTCCCCAAAGCAATTCCAATGTTATAACCAGGGAAACGGCTAGACCCACTGTATTGATGCACTGCCGTATCATGCGTGTAAGTACGACGCTATCGGAATTATTACTTCTATCAAGTAATAATTAAGATCCAATTCAAATTCGTATGTAAACTGGAAAAAAAATTAAATCACTCACAGATTCTGGCTTTCCTAGAGCAGATGCGATGAATTTCGAAGCTGCTGGAAGGAAATCTTTAGGGATCTGGTCCCGTTTCAGGTTTGTGGATATTGCGAAGGTCGGCATGTTGAACTTTAGCACAAAATAATAAGAACAAAAATGTTTAGAACCGGCTCGAAGCTTCTCTTCGTCCTCGCTATCGGTTATCGTCTGCTAGTCAGGGATGCCGAAGTTGGTACTTTCCTAAAAATCTAGAACTATTTTACCCTTCCCGATTATTTAATTAAACAAATAGACATCACAACACTCGGGACACTTTCATAAGTGTTCCATCCCCATTTTCAGCAGCAAGCGAAGAGTCACAATCATCTGTCTAACTGTATATCCATCTTATCCTTCTCTTGAGGGTTAGGCGTCGGCCAGATCCCTTGTTTACCCCTCGCAACGCCCTTCTCTCCAGACAGTAATGATGGGGGAGGGGGTGAGTGATTCGGTGGCGAAGTTATCGAGCCATTTTACTCATTTACCTCATTCTTCTGCATCTGCAGAAAGAGTTTTTATCTACGCTTAATTAACAATACAAAATAATAAACATGTGCTCTGAGATCTATTATTAATATTAATATTAACACAGTGCGTTCCTTTATAACCCTGAGGGTTGAACATTATATTTTTTAAACTACTTCTACTACTATGTGTGTGGGGTGTGTTTAAAGCCGTCTGAAGGTGTTTAATTAACATTTAAAACGTGGAACTTTTTGGTGTGTTTTTGTACCTTTTTAAAACAAATTGTTAATCCCCAAAAACAATTTCGGCAGCCTTGCTACTATACAAATGCACGTCATGGTGGCCAGGACCGCTAGTGGTTGACATGCCAAATAAGACAAAGAAATTGAAGCTGTACTTAAAACAGTTTCAATAAAAACAATGAAGTGCTGTCTCTAAATTGAAGGTGGCGGAGGTTGCAATGGATCTCCAACACACGCTGTCACTTGTCTTGGTAGCAATCGTCGCCCTGAAGAAAACGGCAGGGGAAGGGGGAGGGCTTAGTTCCAACCCCCGCCATGAACATTTCCTTAGCAAAGAAACCGTGGTTGGGGGAGTGTTGACTGCCCCCCCCCCCACACTCCATCCTCAAAGACTTTCACGGGGAAACCCCAACCCAACTGCAATAGACAATTCAAAAATATTCACTTGATAATGATATTTACATTTACTGAAAGACGCATGGATTCTATTCTTCTTCTCCTTCTTTTTCTTCTTCTTCGCGTGCACCAGCTATAAACTCCAGCATAAAATTATGGTTGTTCGTCCACTTGAATTTTGCGTGTACATCTCTTTTACAAATCTGGCTTACTTGTATGCTGTAGTAGTAGTAATTTATCCTCCTCAACCTATCTGGGTTATAAATGGGATCTCATCATCATCAAGTGCCGTGCCGACTGGATTGGCGATCATGCCTCTCCACAATCTGCAACTGCACGTATCAGTTCGTGTACTGCCAAGACAAAAAACTGTCAAGACTGGGAGATGCAGATTTTTCTTCCTATTTCAATAACTTATATATATGTCTACCATATAAATTTGGTTATACAATATCACATAGTTTATTGTACACGATTATAGAAGTAAAGACTGTGTCAGGCTATTCTCCAAATAACGTGCGGTAAAAATGGTGGCCGCAAAATATCCTTTCGAGCCGCAGTCATGTGTCAATCCCGCACTTTCGGCAACTTAATTTGCGGTTTTCCGGCGACTACCGCCACCGCCACGTGTCCCCTACGCCGCCTGGACTGGGGCTTAACTAGATTGCTAGGACCCATGAGCAGCAGCTTCCGCATCTCCTGCAGCTTTGCTCGTGAGTCCCAGCCATCTAGTTTAGCCCCTATCCACGCGGCGTGGGGGACACATGGCGTTAATCGCCGGAATACGCAAATTAAGTCACGTGACTGCGGCTCGAAAGGATATTTTGCTGCCGCCATCTTTAAAGCCCGTTATTCGGAGGATAGCCGATTGTGACATTCAATATACTTTAAATGTACTTTCAAACAGTTATAGTAATTACTACCGTGTAGTCTATCTCTGGATTTTTAAAGTGATCTGGGATACCATTATCCTGTCCTAAGATATTTGAACATCTCATTTGCGAATCCCATCATGAGAGCTAATAGACTTAAATGGTTGGTGCATATTGAAAGAATGCCAGATGACAGAGAAGTAAAAACTGTATACACCAGGGAGATGAGTGGTCGAAGACCATGAGGCAGACCAAGAAGACAACGGAGAGATAATGTCCAGACAGACCTGCAAACACTTGGTGTCACCAACTGGAAAGAGAGGTCCAACCAGAGAGATGAATGGAGGCGGGTGATATTTGCAGCAATGAACCTCATGGGCTCGGAATGCTGAAGAAGGCCAACCAGAGAGATTAATGGAGGCGGGTGATATTTGCAGCAATGAACCTCATGGGCTCGGAATGCTGAAGAAGGCCAACCAGAGAGATGAATGGAGGCGGGTGATATCTGCAGCAATGAACCTCAGGGGCTCGGAATGCTGAAGAAGGCCAACCAGAGAGATGAATGGAGGCGGGTGATATCTGCAGCAATGAACCTCAGGGGCTCGGAATGCTGAAGAAGGCCAACCAGAGAGATGAATGGAGGCGGGTGATTTCTGCAGCAATGAACCTCAGGGGCTCGGAATGCTGAAGAAGAAGATATGCGAATCCCTGTTCTTGTAATGAACTGTAGTTCTCCAGAGCCATCTACTCTCAGCATGTTTTAGATTGTCTGTATGCAAACTTTGAAGGAAACATACCTTTAACAACAAGCTTTTAGAGGGATCAGTGGGTCCCCCCCCCCCCCCCTCTCTCCCCTTTAAAGTGAGTCTAAGGAACCCACACAGGAGTACCCCACTCAATGATACCTGCTTCACCCAATCTGTATAAACACTTCTTGAATTTGTTAACAACCTCCTGTAGTAAATATTGTTATTTTCTCAATCTTCATCATTTTAAAAGGGATGAAGAAGAAGAAACAGTGGAGGAAGAGATAAAGAAGAAAACGATCAGAAGAGTTAAAAGGCAAACACGAGCAAGAGACACAAAGAGGAGAAAGAAAGTGAAAAGGAAAAATAAGTTTCAGACTGCAGCAGCTTAGACCAAACTAAATGAAAGTTAATCAGACAAGTGCATAAACGCTTGGGTCATCTTCGGTATCTCTCTTGGTGTGTGATGACTGATAATGCCAGTTTTGAGTTGGTTTACTATTTTTCTTTGGCTGCCTGTGTAGTGTTCATGCCTGGCGACACCTCATTGGACATCTGAGATTAACCGACATCTCCTAAATCATAGTCCTGCCTCGTTGAGAGAGAGAGCACTGAGTACACCAGCCTGGACCATTGCTGCTTCTCCTGTCCCTGCCAGCAAGCCAATCTGCTCGTTCATTCCCCTCCTAACGCAGATTGTTTTGACATAAATATAGAAATTTATTCCTGCCAGCCAAGATTTCCTCAGATACGGCAACAATTGTCTCCAAACCCATCTGAAATGTGTTTTGATCATGTCAGAGTAACTGCCTACATAAGTAGTGGTACTGGAGAGGAAAGACAACCTTGCGGTTCATTGCTGCAGATATCACCCGCCTCCATTCACTCTTTGGTAAAGTCAATACAATATGAAAATTTAAACAATCTTCAGGTGATATTAAAAAGCATCTTTTTCATCAGCTGTAAACTTTGGCAAAAAGTTCTGGTTGTTCACCCACTTCTATCTTTAGTTTTGTTCCAGAGTTTTGCATGCACAACCATTTTGCAAATCTGGCTTATCTTTATGCAGGAAGCTATTTCCTCGCATCTCAGGAAACATACCTAATCAGTCGCCACTTACCACACGCTTGTGTATCCCCCCTCCCCCCAATGGGACTCAGGAACCCACACTTGGTAAACAATAATCTAAGAACCTCACCTTCTTTTTCAGCATTCCGAGCTCTTGAGGTTCATTGCTGCAGATTTCTCCCACCTCCACTTATCTCCCTGGTTGCTCCTTTCTTTCCAGTTGGTGACACCAAGTGTTTACAGATCTCACTGGACATTACCTCTTCATCATCTTCTTAGTCTGCCTTGTGTCTATGACCATTTATCTCACTTGTGTATAGTTTTTACCTCTCTGCAGGCTCAACTACCACATGCGTAAAATAAAGTGTGGTCAGTCCTTACAGTGTGCATGTCAGGCAGAACCTCAAACACCTGAGCACATTCTGCAGACCTGCCCACTATACCTACAACTACCAAATTAAACATGGCCTCAAGAGCAAACTGTGCAGAGCGAGATATGGGGAACCATGCAGGACCTGCTGCTGACAAGCGAGTTCATAGTGGCAACCCACCAGACGATTTGACCTGAGCAAACAACAATGAATGCTAAAAGGAATAATAAATCTAAAATGTTTTGTCTGGAATGTTATGAGAGCAGCGGAAGCGGACACTTAGCTGCAAGCTCAAAGTATTTGGGTTCAAAACCACACTGAGTTTGATTTTTTGTTAATAACAGTCTGTGGCTCCCAGGTCGACAGCCTATTATGGATATCAGGAAAAGCCCTGGGAAGTAAATAAGGCCAATAGTATGCAGACCACATCACCAAACACCATTTTTCCAATGTGCTATTGGCATGAAAAGGGTCTTATGTTTTCAGTTATTTCCGGTTCCAACTTCACGACAAACTGGTCACCCCTTAACAGATCTGGTCCTGTGCCAGCCAAACCCACCTGGAATGTGGAGTCTGAGACTAGCAATGCAGTTCATCAACTACTGAAGCAGCGGTTTATATGAAACAGTAACTGTCATGTAACTGTAATATTTTAATATGCATGCATTTCACAGACAAGGAAGGAACATTAATGGTCTATGAAAACATTAATTTTAATGAATCAATAAAAGAATAAAAGCACAAGAAATAAATGGAAATATTAAGGCAAAACATTATGGCACATACACAAACAAACAAAATGGCATTTTAAAATAATAATTTTGATGTGCCAGGTTTAACAGTATAGATTATTGCTCTCCTAATGCTTCTGGGATAGCAGAAACACATCAATGATAACCTCAATCCAAAAGATGGAGGCTTTTA